ACATGATGATCTCTTTCCAATTACAGACAGATGTGACAGGTCAATTGTTCCCCGATGACAAGTATTCATGTCTGATGATCACAAAAAGCCATTAACAATGACGTTTCGTATTATCACCTAGATATTAATCAACTGATATTGTCTAACTGCAAATCTGTACAATACTGTAAAGGTTTTTTTTCTCTGTATTGTAATTTTATTTGAATTTAATTGTTTCTTAATTTATTTTGGCAGCAAGGGTTATTATGGAAAAAATACAACCTTGATTGTACAAAATGTTTCATTAAAACTTGAAAATAATTTTTAAGAAAAAGAAAGCAATGATATTTCATTAACGGCTACATTGACTAATAACAGATTGACACGTTTTGCATGAATTTTGAAAGAAGTACATTTTTGGTTTTAGGACAGCTTGATGAAAACTTTTGATTTACTTCAAATGTCGACTAGTGTAGAAAGTCCCAAGTCCCACCTATTTGGAGCTGGCTCTGGCCTCAACTTGAATAGGAGAGATATTATGGCGTATACAGTGCATCCGGAAAGTATTCATGGCGTTCAAAGCATTCATCAATTTTTTTCAAATTTCTTTATTTTACAGACTTATTCCAAAATGAATTAAGTTCATTTATTTCCTCAAAATTCTACACATAATACCCCATAATGACAATGTGAAAAAAGAGTTTTTTAAATTGTTGCAAATTTATTAAAAATAAAAAACCTGAAATATCTATATGTACATAAGCATTTACAGCCATTGCCGTGAAGCTCTAAATTGAACTCAGGTACATTCTGTTTCCATTGATCATTCTTGAGATGTTTCAACAGCTTAATAAAGCTTAATAAATTCAGTTGATTGGACATGATTTGAAAAGGCATACTCATGTCTATATAAGGTCCCAGGGTTGACAGTGCATGTCAAAGCACAAACCAAGCATGAAGACATATGAATTGTCTGTAGACCTCCAAGATAAGATTGTCTCAAGACACAAGGCTAGGGAAGGTTACAGAAAAGTTTCTGCTGCTCTGAAGATTCCAATGAACACAGTGGCCTCCATCTTCTATCAGTGGAAGATGTTTGGAACCACCAGGACTCTTCCTAGAGCTGGCCGGCCATCTAAGACTCAGGATTCTGTTCATATTTCTGCCATGCCACAGAGCACCATCTGATTAGTTTAATTTTAAAGATCATGCGAATGTGCGCGTCTGGTGTGCGATACTTTCAACTGTCGTGTGCATGCTTTGTCGTGGCACCGAGTGGCATATCAGGTGTGTGACGCCCTTTACAGAAGGACAACCATCTGTGCAGCAATCCACCAATCAGGCCTGTATGGTAGAGTGGGCAGACAGAAGCCACTCCCCGCCTGGAATTTGCCAAAAGGCATCTAAAGGACTCTCAGACCATAAGAAACTAAATTCTCTTGTCTGATGAGACTAAAATTGAACTCTTTGGAGTAAATGCCAGATGTTATGTTTGCAGAAAACCAGGCACTGCTTATCACCAGGCTAATACCATCGCTACAGTGAAGCATGGTGGTGGCAGCATCATGCTTGGGGATGTTTTTCAGTAGCAGGAATCGGAAAACTAGTCAGGATAGAGGGAAAGATGAGTGCAGCAATGTACAGAGACATTCTGAATGAAAACATTCTTCAGAGTGCTCTTGACCTCAGACTGGGGCAACGGTTCATAATCCAGAAGGATAATGACCCAAAGCACACGCAAAAATATCAATGGAGTGACTTCACAACAACTCTGTGAATGTCCTTGAGTGGCACAGCCAGAGCCCAGACCTTAATCCTATTGAACATCTCTGGGGAGATCTGAAAATGGCTGTACATCGTCGCTTCCCAATCAACCTGATAAAGCTTGAGAGGTACTGCAAAGAGTAATGGGCAAACATTCCCAAAGACAGGTGTGCCAAGCTTGTGGCATCATATACAAAGAGACTTGAGGCTGTAAATGCTGCCAAAGATGCATCAACAAAATATTTAGCAAATACTTTTCTGTACATCAAATTTTTAAAGCTTTTTTATTTTTAATAAATTTGCAAATATGTAATCTTTTTTTACATTGTCATTATGTATTGTGTGTAGAATTTAGAAGGAAATAAATGAATTTAATCCATTTTAGAATAAGAAATGGGGGAAAAGGCAAAGCTCTGTGAATACTTTCCAAATGTACTGTAAATCCAATTGTGTAATTGATTTTTTCTATGTTTTTGTTGACCTGTTTTATAGTTTATCTTAACATTTATGTTAACAGAAAATCCCAAGATCAAGAAGGAGCCAACACAGATGAATTGTAAGGCCCCAAAACACATCACATCATCAAATATTGTGCACTAATCTTGATGAACTCTGACAATGACTGTTGAATATTTTCAGTTGGCAATTCTGCCCGAGACATGCTGGGACCCTCGCTGATGATGATGATGCTGTTGTCATTGACTCTGGAGTTCACATGAGAACTATGGGATGCGTTTTCCTATTAGTACCCTCTCTGATACTCAGTCAGCTCCTCTGCCATCTCTCTCGCTGTCCAGCAGCTACGCTATAATCCAGGACTGAGATTGCAGCAGAGAAATGTGTGCTCAGAATGAGAACGATAAGCTCAACCCACCCTGAACACCCCAACCATGTGACTACAGTTAAGCTCAGTTTGTTCTGCACCTGTTTAGTCACAACACAGTGACATATTCATGCTTCGACTTCATTTTCTACATTGTATTTGTGCAAAGCTGCATTGCAGAAAAGGATTAGAGCCAAGTGGAATGGGTCGTCCCACATACAGATAATCCTGGACATACATTACAGCTTTCATCATTCTAAACAGCTTATTGTAATGTCATTTCATTAATGTTGTTCCTTAATATACCCGGGCTGCTGAGTGCAAAATTGCTTACTTGCTTTCAGGGCTGAAGCTATGGGAACTCGAGGATCAGATTCACCTACTGCATATGACCTCTAGATGACAGTGTAGATCTTTAGATTGAACACATTTTTTTTTACATGAACAGTCCATAAACCCTGTTGGCTGGTGTGCACCGAAATGTTTCAAAAAACAGTCATGTAATGCGTTATAATGCAATTGTTTCTGCAGAGAAAATGCAATCCAGTTAACAAGGTGTGTTGCTACACTTTATAAAGAATAATTAAAGACAAACTTTAAAAATAGCTTCTCATATTGCTTTGTTTTTAGAAATATTCAGAATTGTAAGATTAAAAAGTGGCAAGCTTTTATTTATTTGATTTATGTTTTAACATTATGATGGAAACAAGCTTTAGTATTTTATATGAGTGGGAAAAATTTTTTTTTAAATGTTTAACATTTATTTTATTTTGATTTCTGTCAGTTTTATGCATGCAAATGTTAAAGCTAGATCAAAATTGTTGTGGTATTTTACATTTTAGACTACATCAGCATACTTAATTGTGGGATATTGGTCAATATTTCTGAATATTTTTTTTTTAATTTTATTAAAAGTATACTTGACCCTAAATGAAAATTCTGGTAAAACACCCAGTAAATACATGTATAACATTCCCCTAACTTAATTTGTTTTTTAAAGAACCAAAAGAAAATCAGTAACACTTTACAATAACAGTACATGAATAAAGGTGTGTTAATATGTAAACTAAATATTACTTTATTATGAATTAAAGATGAGTTAAGGCGTGCACTAATCGGAAACTAACTTTAACTACAATGTGAGTCACATTAGTTCATGTGTAAATTCCGTCACCTTAATTACTTGTTAGTACATGATGTTAATTAATGTTAATTAACATTTAAGTTTAAGCTAAATGTAACCAACACGACACATAAGCTGTTAATGTATAATTATATCACATCACGACTTTACTTGGAGGGGCAGATCATCAATAACCCATCCTTAGCTACTAATAAACTCCTGTGTTTAATCTTTTTGATGTTGACAGAACACTTTTCCATTGTTATCCAGTGTAAACACACTGGACGGATGTGCATAAGGAGTTCATGAGTAGTTAAGAATGGGTTAATGATGATGTACCCCTCCAAGAAAAGTCATGACAATTATATATTAACATGCCATGCGTTCATGATGGTTAAATTAAGCATAAACTAATGTGGTAATTAATACATTAATTAAAAAAAACAATCATGTACTAACAAGTAATTAAGATAGCCATTATTCACAGATGACCTCATGTGACTCATGTGTTGTAGTTAAAGTTAGTTCACGGTTAGCGCATACATTAACTCATTATTAGTTCATAATAAAGTCATGTTTAGTTTACATATTAACACATAATTCGTCATGTACTGTTATTGTAAAGTGTTACCAGAAAATCTCTAAATTCTTTTAGGTTTTATTGTTTTGCAACCGAAAACATTCTGTGAACAAAATAAAAATTATTAGAAAATGTATGTAAAGAATAGAACTAGCTTTTTGTTTTTTATACCGTGGAAATCGGTGAGGACCTGGAACTGCATAATTAAAATATATTTTGTATTCAGCTGATGAATAGAAGCAACTTGAGGGTGAGTGAATGATAAGAATTTCATTTTCCATTGAATATCCTTTTAAGTGCACTTCACTTTTTCAGAGCAAGTCCGTGTGGAACATCAAATTGCAGAGATGTGCTAAATGAATGCGCCGTTGCCGGTGCTCGAAAAAGTTGGGTGACAAAATACATGCACATTACTAATGAGACCCCCAACAGTGTTCACGATGATGAGCCCCTTTAATTCTTTAACGCTGATCAGCATGACTTCACATATAATGAGAGGATAACAGTGCAGCATAAATTATGAATAAATGTTTCACTAATTGTCTCTCAATTTACTAACGACACTTGCAAAAGTCCCGTCCCGCCTCTTGAAATAAAGCGCACGGAGACACGATGTTCTAAAACCATTCTCCTAAAGAGAGAGAGAGAGTGTGTGTGTGGTTGAGAGAGAGAGGGGGAGAGACGTCTTGTGTGACAGTTGTTCACTCGCAGATTTTGTAGGTAAGACACTTGGCACACTGATGGACCTCTGTTAGACTCTAAACTTCTAGGACGAGGAAAGCAGGACGCGTTTCCAGTTTCTCCAGCGTGCCTTATGACAACTGACAAGTTACACACACTCTCCCTACTCACGAGCTGCTTTATTCCTCAAACTCGATAGAAAGCCTGAACTGTCTGAAAACCATGATGGAGATGAAGGTGTTGGGCTGCGCGTTGCTTTTCCCCTTCCAGATTGTCTTCAGCATTTTGAAGGCGACCGTGCGCTTCTTCACGCGCCAGAAGCGCAGAGATCTGGGCACTGACGTGGTGCTCATCACTGGAGGTGGAAGAGGAATCGGCCGTCACCTGGCCAAAGAGTTTGCCAAGCAAGGAGCGAGAAAGGTAAAGTTATACCTCGTGCATGAGTGGTGTTATATTATGCCATTCTTTACGATGTTTTGCCACTTGTAGTTTAGCTGTTGTGTCAATCACATTATAAATTAGCCCTTTGCTCACACTTGTAAGGAATTTGCCTGTTGAACGTGTTCATAAATATTTAATGCAGCAATTCTTTCAAATGATCGCGTAAGTGTCAGTGCGCAGTGAGAGGTTTGGACTCGCGCAGCGCAACTTGTAATTTGGCGCCACTAATAACGCGGATAGCTTGACATAACGTTTGTCTAACAAACGTTTATATAAGTGTGTGTGTTAAATGTGTAAAACTATAGCTGAATAATACACAACGAAACTATTTGTCTTTTATTTAACTATGTTAGTTGAAAGCGCGTGCCTACCTGCTCTGACGAACGCGACTAGAGTTTGACGACAGGTGAAAATAAGCGCTTGTTTTAATATTCTGCACTGAAATGTTCACAAGTGCCGATACATTACGTGACAGTTCGCAAATATGAAAATTGTGATTGATCAAATATAAATCAGTGGCTAAATATAAATAAATAAATAAATACATTCAACACAAAATTAATACCCAAGGCTCCTAATGAGATCTTTTGAAACAATTAGTGTTTGAGAAACAGAACATTATTACTTTTAACTTTTATCAGCTCACGTATGAGTTTACCAGCACATGCTGAGGTTGCACTCAAGCGTTTTGGAGACCATTTGTGGATGCTGAGGATTTAAGGGAACAATGCAAATAATGGTCAGTTTTATGCACAGACCAATACTTTTCTTTGTAAGACATCCGTGTATCATCAAGAGCCATGAGTTTAATTTAGTTTGGCTGAATGTATTTTCTTTTTTTTTTGGACTCTCAAAATGCCAGTGACCATTGACTTGCATTTTATGAATCACTAAGGAGCAGTTTCAGCACCTGTTCTACTAATGAAAAAAGCCATATATCCTGGAAGGCCTAAGGGTGAATAGCCTACAAAAAAAACAGCAAATTGTTAGGGTAACTGTCCATTTAAGTGACAAACTGTGAGCTACATGCCATTATTAATGGGTTTATTGTTTCTGCATTACTAACAATTGTGTTTATCTGATTTATTCACATAGCAGTAAACACACCTTTTCAGCTATGTAAATACACTTTGAAACGGTCCAGTGTAGTCAACAGAAGGTACAGTGACCTGTCGCTGCCCTCATCTGAAGCCTTGAGCTCTGTTTCATATTCCTCCAGCACACAAACACAGGTGTTTCCTAAGCTTTTATGTCTTTACAAATGCCCAACAATGGGCCGCTGACAGGCAAGGCTGTTTTGTTGAACTCAAATCATGTGTGACTCTTTAACCTTCCAGGGAAGTTCATACTTCCCTACTCTGAGTGAGGCATCCAGGATGAGCTGTCCGTGATATTTATTATGATTAAAACCAACTGATTTCAACTCATTATATCCGTCCTTCAAGAATGGAGTAAAAGCTTGGTAGCCTTGTCAGTGATAGCTGTTTTATTTTGACAGCGTGGCATGCGTGCGTGTGAGCGGGTGAATGTGCGCTCAGCGTGTGTAGGTGTGTGAATGGATCAATTGCAAGGGGGTGTAGTAGGCAGAGAAGCACCTTGCAGATTGGTTACCACAACCAAGTTCATTGGCAGGTCAGCCAGCTTTTGCGGAGTAGGCCTGATGATGTCATTTGTGTTATTGTGTGGGCTTCTTACTGCTTAATCCCAGAGGGAAAGAATCAAACAGAAAGCCAAAGGAGCCGAGGCTGTGGATAAAAGTAAAGTAGATTCAAGTTAAGCTCCTTGCTTGTCTATTGATTAATTATATATTGATATAACTTTTATTTCCCTATAAGGGGATTCCAATCATTCAGATCTCCTGAATGCATATAAATTTACCCAAAGTTCCCATTGCATATAAATATACATCTAACAAAAGTTTGGGATCAGTACAATTCTTTATGTTTTAAAGAGCTGATTCTGCTCACCAAGACTGCATTTTTTAATTTCACCAGCAAGGACCATGCCACACTTTGACCTAGATGTTATTGCAGGGATGTAGGGATGAAAGGAATGGTAAGGGAACAGTGGGATAAAGGTGAACGGACGTAAGGGATAAACAGTGAACAGGTAGGTAGGTTGATCGGGCATCCTATGATGATGCCCAAAGACTCAGTGGGGGTCCCGTTTCTGTAATATTTTGTGAGGGTGATTGTAGCCCCTAATTCAACCTAGGAGGGAAGAGAGGGTTATAAGGATTGTTAATGAGAAGCAAATTATTAAAAGGAGGGAGGGAGGGTTCGAGAGAACGAGAAGAACAGTGCAAGAGAGCTGGTCTGCCTTAAATAAGTTTTAGGATGTAGGTGATTGGTTAAGGAGGCAAAGTGAGTCGTGGTCCCACTGCTGAAACTCCATTAAAAATACAGTAAAACTGTGAGATGTTACAATTTAAAACATCTTTTTTTTTATTAAATGCATTTAAAAAATGTAATTTATTCACTGAACAAAATGATTCAAAGATGATTCCGTGAATTTACGATTTTTTTAAAGTTAAGTACTTGAAAACAGTTGGGCTGAATTTAAACAAATTAAGTTGCACATTACTAAAATAATTTGCTTGTTTAAATTCAACACATACAGTTGAAGTCAGAATTAATACCCCCTCCTGAATTATTAAACAGCTTGTTTATTTCTTTCCCCAATTTCTGTTTAACGCAGAGCAGATTTTTCAACCCATTTATAAACATAATAGTTTAAATAACTCATCTTTAATAACTGATTTATTTTATCTTTGCCGTGATGACAGTAAATAATAATTGACTAGATATTTTTCAAGATACTTCTATAGTTTCAAGCGACATTTAAAGGCGTAACTAGGTTAATTAGGTTAACTAGGCATGTTAGGGTAATTAGGCAAGTTATTGTATAATGATGGTTTGTTCTGTAGACTCTCAAGAAAAAAAAATAGCTTAAAGGGGCTAATAATTTTGACCTTAAAATGGTGTTTAAAAAATTTATAACTGCTTTTATTCTAGCCAAAATAAAACAAATAAGACTTTTTCCAGAAGAAAACATATTATCAGACATCCAAGACATTATCAGACTTCAACTGTACAAATTGTTTGCAACAATTTTGCAGACACATTTTTTCAGTGTTCTTGTTATTCAAAACAGCATAATATAGTCTCCAGTGTGATTTAATTCTTTAGATATTATTCAATTATTATAATTCACATTTTTTCAGTGTTCTTGTATTCAAAACAGCATAATAGTCTCCAGTGTGATTTAATTCTTTAGATATTATTCAATTATTATAATTCACTTTTTTTGTTTTTTTGCTATTCTAATTAAAATAAATGCAGAATTGGTGAGCAGAACAGACTTAATTGCTGTAAGTGATCATGCATGAGGAGTAAAGTTGGGAAGGTGTACTGTAGGTGAATGGAGACTCGTGCTCCCAGCTGGGCTTTGGCCCAAGTCTGACCCCACTGGGCCTGCACTAATAAGGGGGCGTTGGGCTGCCCCTGCCTATATCTCCTGGTGGCTCTGTTGCTTGAACTTTTACTGATAATGGGACACTCACCATGTGCTGTTTGTGACATTGTTGGGACTGGAGGCTGGCAGTATCTCTTTCGGCACATGAGAAAGCATCCGTTGCATTGCTTATTTTTATATAGCCGATTTTAGGACTGCATTTAATAAAGCTAGTTTTAGCAATTATAAATTAAAATGAACACATTTCTTTTCATTCAGCCCAATCCATAGGCAAGGCTGAAGAATGATGTTTTATTGATATCAAGAAAAAAAAAACCTCCTTGATGGACTATTTATTTATTCTTATTGCTATTATTTTGGATAATTTTTATTCATAGATTATTTTATTTTACTTAATTTTTTGGCATTACATTACATTGCTTTAGGCAAAAAAGCATTGACATAATATAATATAATATAATATAATATAATATAATATAATATAATATAATATAATATAATATAATATAATACAATATAATATAATATAATATAATATAATATAATATAATATAATATAATATAATATAATATAATATAATATAATATAATAATAAATGATTAATTTTATTTAATCCATTCTTCAAAAACATTAATTGTTCTCCTACTACAGTAATTCAAATAGGTGGATAACATTTGGTCACAAAGCCCCAAAAAACTATCTGGGCAGGTTTTGTGAGCTTCACCCCACACGAATGCTCTCCCCTGAGAGGCCTGGAGTACTGAAGGGTTCCTCCAAAGGTCAGAGCGAGTGACCGTTTTATGTGTGTATGTTTGTTTATGAGCTAGATTGAGATTGACAGGCTGGGGAGGAGACGAGCTCATCCTTGTGTTCATTACCTCTCGCTGACCTTGTGGAGTGATGGATCTAATAGACAGAGAGTGAACTGACCCTGTCCTCTATCACTCTCACTTGCTCTCCCTAAAGCCAACGATAAAGAAATACTCCTTACAGAACTCAACCTATACATCAGTGTGGAGCAATCCTGCGTAATACATCACATAGCTGGAAATAGTTCCTCTACTCACACTCTTGTTGACTTGCAAATTGGACATTTGTTGTACTTAAATCATGTGTTTGATGTGTTTGCTCTCTCAGGTGATTTTGTGGGGCCGCACAGAGAAATGTTTAAAAGAGACCTGTGAGGAAATCTCCATGACTGGAACTGAGTGCCATTATTTTGTATGTGATGTGGGCAACAGGGAGGAGGTTTACCAGCAAGCAAAAGTTCTCAGGGAAAAGGTAAGAATACTGCATCTTCAGGTATATAAACCAATGAATCTTTAGCACATCTCGTTTGTCATTTTATGTTTCACAGCCTTTTTGGCCACTAGGGGCAAAATTAGTTTTCCTTTAATCTCATGATGCTGAAGACCCTCTCCTTGCATGATGGCACAATAATATAATATAATATAATATAATATAATATAATATAATATAATATAATATAATATAATATAATATAATATAATATAATATAATATAATATAATATAATATAATATAATAAAAGCAGTGGCGCAGTAGGTAGTGCTGTCGCCTACTCAGGTAGGTTCAAGCCTCGGCTCAGTTGGCGTTTCCGTGTGGAGTTTGCAAGTTCTCCCTGCGTTCACGTGGGTTTCCTCTGGGTGCTCCGGTTTCCCCCACAGTCCAAAGACATGCTACAGGTGAATTGGGTAGGCTAAATTGTCCAGTGTATGAGTGTGAGTGTGGGAATGTGTGTGTGCTGGAAGCACATCCGCTGCATAAAAACTTGCTGGATAAGTTGGTGGTTCATTCTACTGTGGCGACTAATAAAGGGACTAAGCCGACAAGAAAATGAATGAATAATATAATATAATATAATATAATATAATATAATATAATATAATATAATATAATATAATATAATATAATATAATATAATATAAATTGACTGCTGCTGTTGTTGTTATTATTATACTTCATTGTATTATATTTTATTTTAAAATTTTATTTACATTATTATTTATATTTAAAATTTGAAATTTATATATTACACTTTAATATTATTTAATTATTATAATTGCAATATCTAGGCGTAGCGCTGTCGCCTCAAAGCAAAAAGGTCACTGGTTCAAGCCCTGGCTGGGTCAGTTGGCATTTCTGTGTGGAGTTTGCATGTTCTCCCAGTGTTCACGTGGGTTTCCTCCAGGTGCTGCGGTTTCCCCCACAAGTCCAAAGACATGCTCTATAGGTGAATTGTGAAAGCTAAACTGACCGTAGTGTTTGTGTGCATGTCCTGTTCCTGTAAGTTGGGGGTTGAGCGTTGGGCTAATGACCCAAATCATAAAAATGAGATGTTAAGCAACGCCAACATGGTGCAGCTAAATATCAATTTCGATATAAATAGTCCTGGGAGTAAGTATTAATATTAAATTGTATTATTTTATGTATTTTTCCCCCGTTGATGTAATATCTATTATTGTTTCTTTAATTAAACAAGTGCTTTGTTATACTGTTTTATTTTAAATATTTTCATACATTGTTGTTATATATTATTTTCATCATTATTGTTACTAAATATTTTTGGACAATTTTAGGCTATTTTTTCAGCCTTGGTATCTATCTTAGTATACATTTTTTCCAAAGTAAAATCATTTAATTTTGCACAGGTCGGGGATGTCACCATTCTTGTAAATAATGCAGCTGTTGTCCATGGGAAAAGTCTAATGGAAAGTGACGATGATGCACTTTTGAAGACTCAGCACATAAACACCCTTGGACAGTTCTGGGTAAGAGACAAATCAATATTCTGACTTCCACACTGCTCTCATGGCTGTCAGTTTTTTTTTTTTTTTTTTACAGCGCAGCCGTACTACAGTAACCGCTCACTGAACCCAACATGAACTCCAGATACTCCTTTGTGTTTTGCAGAACATTTTTCAGTTACTTAACGTTAAGTCACTTGGCATGCTGTAATTCTTGGAAGCCTTCCTCATCGTTTTAGCATGTTTTTGCCAAGAGAGAAAAAGTAACACCGCATTCCTCACATAGAACAGTCAGAGACAAAAATACAAGAGAGACTCGCAAACAAAAGCAATGGAATGATCCGTAAAGAACAAGGAGAAAAGAAAAAGTTTGAAAAACTGACTGCTCGGAAGATCTAGGATACGCAGTCATGCTATATTGGGCATATTCATAGTCAAAGAGAAAAAGAGCTGATCATCTGAGGTTTTAGCTGCAGTAGTAGCTCACGCTGAGTATTTCTGTAGTTTATTGTTGCTCTAATTTCAAACACATGCCGTTTTCGAATGCCAGATTGAAATAGTTTTTCAGAGAAGCCATTGTCAGACTTCAGATCACACACTTAATGCCAGAATTGTGCTGAATCATGCTAGCATTGTGTTAAAACATTAAGCAATGTTAAATCCTGCTACCAACCACATACAACTTGTGAGATGTGTTAAAGGAGACTAGAATTGTGTTAAATTATAGTAAACCATGCAACCAAACTGTTACAACATGCTAACATTGTGTTAGCAATCTGCTAAAACATGCAAGAATTGTGTCAAATCCACATAGAAACATGCATGCAACTTAAAAATTGCTAAAATATGCTAGCATTGTGTTACACAGAGAAACCATCATCCAACTCGGTCAAGCACTGAATGCCACCATTGTGCTAAATCATACTAGCTTAGACAGCAGTTTTGAATCATGCTAGCTACCTGATTAAACCTGTCAACACTCATAAACCATAGTAGCAACTTGCGAAACAAAACATGCTAGGAATGTTTTAAATCATCCAAGATTATATGCTAGCAACCTGCTGAAACATGCAATAATTGTGTCAAATCCATTTAGAAACATGCACGCAACACAATATGATAGAATTGGTTTAAATGCCAGAAACCTTGCTGACAACAACTGTTAAAACATGCTAACATTGTGTCACACAATCCACTGAATGCCACCATTGTGCTAAATCATGCTAGCATCCTAAGAAAGTAGCAGTTTTGAATCTTGCTAGCTACCTGATTAAACCTGTCAACACTGATAAACCATAGCAGCAACCTGTGAAACATGCTAGGCATACTAAATCATCCAAGATTATATGCAAGCAAACTGTTAAAACATGCTAACATTGTGTTAGATCATGCAAGGTCTGCATGTACCTGATTGATTAAACATTGAATAACATTGTGTGAATATGCTAGCCTTGTGCTTAAAATTAGCAGTGTTAAGGATGCTATAATCTGATAAAACTAATCTTGTAAATCATGCTTACAACCTGAAAACAAATGTGTGAGCATTGTTAAATTATGCTAAAACATGCTAATACAAGCATTACTGAATTGTGCTTAAAACATTCTAGCATTGTGTTTCAGATCAAACACTGAATACCAACAATTGAATACATTTTCTAGCATTAAGCTAAAACATGACCTGTGTTAAACCTGTTAGCAATTTGATAAAATCTGTCAGCACAGTGCTAAATCACACTGACATTGTAAATTCTTAATATTTAATAAGTTCAAAAACCATCTAAATTTCAACCACATGGCTTCTCTGAAAGCCCATTTTAAACAGAGTTTTGTAGCCACCATCTGACTCCGATCAAACATCGAACGTAGGCTCATATTTCTACTAAAATATGCTTGTTGACTTTCACTGAAGGTAGCCTAGAGAATCTTAGACAATTAACGCATTCTCGACCCTGAGGTTCTGAAGCTCTCATTGTTATTGTTGGATTTTCCAGAAGATGATAGAGGGAACCGAACAATGTGTAATTGTGTCTGTCTCCCCCACAGACCACGAAAGCATTTCTGCCTCGCATGCTGGAGCTGTGCAACGGCCACGTGGTGTGCATTAACTCCATTCTCTCCCTCTCCTCCATCCCTGGAGCCATCGACTATTGCACGTCCAAAGCCTCGTCTTATGCCTTCATGGAGAGCTTGACGTTGGGCCTGCTGGACTGTCCTGGAGTGGGATGCACTACAGTTCTTCCCTTCCATACAGACACAGAGATGTTCCAGGGCATGAGAGTGAGGTAATGAGCTGCTGCTGGTATCAATAACCATTAAGATCTAGACTGAATCAATCAATCAATCAATCAATTATTTCTGAACTCATCTTTTAGGTTTCCTAAGCTGTTTCCTCCTCTGAATCCTGAGATGGTGGCAGAGCGCACTGTGGATGCAGTTAGGACCAACACTGCCTTCGTTGTCCTGCCATGGACCATGCACTTTCTTGTCATTCTTAAGAGGTGAGACCATCACTGTTTGTCATAAATTATTATTCATCTTGGGAAAGGGGTCTCAAACTGCCGGCCTGCAGGCCATTTATGGGCCGCCCTTCTCCTCCCTCCGGCCCACAACTTACATTTAAAATATAATAAGATTTGGCCCGTCAAACCATATATTTTTAAATCATTATTATTGTTGTGCAGTCGTGTCTATCCACATGTGGTTTTGACCCGCCACCTGGTTGACATTTAATGTCCTGCATTCAGGTAATACATTTTTTAATAGGTTATCCTCAAATGCATATTAAGATTTGCAGAAAAACTATAAGTAAAATTGTACTGCTGGTTGAATTAAACTTGTTAAAGTAAGTGTGAATATATACATACTTTCCCCCCTCTTTGTTGTAGTTTTATAACAAAAAAGAAAGATATTGAGAAGAACAATTGCCAGCAAAGTCACTAAAGTTGCTTTCTGCTGTTCTTACGCTATTGGGACAATACAACTGGTTAGTACAGAATATTAATTATTATGCCTATTACTTGTAGAATTTTCATAACAATTTAAACTACCACTTTAATATGTACAACAACAAAAAGCTAGAGTTTTGACCTCATATACTCTGTAGAAGAATGACTGAGTGTGTGTGTATAATGCTTGGCCATGCAAACAACCACAGAAATCTTTCAACAGCTGATTTGTGACACGATAAACGTGCTGATTTGCAATATCACTGGTGACATGTAAAGCTTGAAATAAAAACCTTATGTCTGTTGTCCTAAAGATGCATCAATTATGTCAGGCTTCCACTTTTTTTCTTGTGCTTTAATGTTAAACCAGCCCTCTTATGAATTGTCAGTCACTGAAATGGCCCCCTGCTAAATTGAGTTTGAGACCCCAGTCTTAGGAGGACCATGTCCTAAATGTGCTGTTCCATGCTAGCAGTGTTAAATCATGCTAGAAATATGCTAATGTTTCAAATTATTCCATTTTGTGTTTGCAAATAACATGCCAACAACTTGTTAGAATAATGCTAGTAATACAAGAAATTACCTACCATTTTCTCAACCTTAAGCAGTTCCACATCTTTGAGTTTCTGTTTTTCTAAATCTGTTTGTTTTTCCTATTATGGAAGCCAATGATTACCAGTTTCCAACATTTTTCAAAATATATATTTTGAACAGGAGAAAGAAACTCAAACAGGTTTTAAAGAAGTGGACGATGATCACAATGTCAGAATTAGATTTTTTTGGGGTGAACTGTTCCTTTAAAACCTTGTGAGAATAAATTTCCATATGCACAACTCTGTATATGTGACAAATGCAGTCAAACTCAGAATTCAGCAATAATAATTGGATACAACTTTTTGTTTATTTCCTCTCAGCCTTCTGCCCCAGTCTGCTCTGGAAGAGATCCATAAGTTTTCAGGAAGCTACACCTGTATGAACACATTTAAAGGACGGACTTAATCTCAGGAGCTTCTTTACTGTTGATTTTTAATTCAAAGCAAGTACTACGTCCAGGAACATCACTCTGTTTTACTGTGGACACAAAAAGATGAATATGAAACAGTCATTGGGATGAGCGAATCGAGATGGCTTGTTGTCCCAAGAACTGTTATGTCTGCAAGTCTTACATGGATGAATTTGGATTTGATTGCCCTATACTGGACTGCACAAAGACATGTAGAAGAAAATGTTTCTCAAATACTGTGATAACAGGGAGCACAGACTGTTGAAAGGAAAATGTTTTTTAGAAAGCTCTGAACTTTTCATAAGGGCCCCTAAAAGGCTGCTCTTAGATTTTTATAGTTTTTCACAGATTAAAAAAAACATTTGTAGCACAGGTCAATGCAATTTGACTTTTCAACTGTATACAGCAAATATATATATATATATATATTTAAAAAAAGTTACTGATATAGATGTAAAAATGCCCGTTGTTTTTCAGTCAAAATGTTTTGCATTATTCTAAAATAAAATAAAACTTGTCCACTTTTGTAAAGATTGGAAATGTATTTTCTTGCTTCTTTAAGAACATTTTGCATGAGTGCAGCAATATGGTATTTTTGGCCGATAACTATTGATAAATATCGATAACGGAGAACTCTTTGTATATGGAAACTGATAACTAGGATATACCTGTAGGGTGATAAATACACATTGTGCCAAGATTTGTTTCTAAGCCTGATTACAAAAACTAAATAAAAAAGATGGATAAATTATTGCAGAAAATTGGCTGAAAACGCCTACAGTAGATGTTTCTCAGAATTAATTAAAAACTGCAATTCTAAAGTTTATTTCCTCTTGTATGGTAATTAAACTGGTGGAAATTATCCATAATTTATGAGCAGATTAATTATTATTAATAACTAAATAATTAAAAATAATTATTTTTAATTGGGCAATAATGTTAACATAAAAAAATAAGCATTTATTGACCAATAACGATACAGCCTCTGACACATTGTGCAACACTAACATTTTGCAATATATTTTTGTTTAAACAACAATACATTTTCTTAAACTACTGTTTACTACAATATACTTGGCCAAAAACAATTTATCTATATTTTTTGCCATATGGGACATTCATTCATTCATTTTCTTGTCCGCTTAGTCCCTTTATTAATCCGGGGTCACCACAACGGAATGAACCGCCAACTTATCCAGCAAGTTTTTACGCAGCGGATGCCCTTCCAGCCGCAACCCATCTCTGGGAAACATCCACACACACACTCATACACTACGGACAATTTAGTCTACCCAATTCACCTGTACCGCATGTCTTTGGACTGTGGGGAAAACCGGAACACCCGGAGGAAACCCACGCGAAGGCAGGGAGAACATGCAAACTCCACACAGAAACGCCAACTGAGCCGAGGTTCGAACCAGCAACCCAGCGACCTTCTTGCTGTGAGGCGACAGCACTACCTACTGCACCACTGCCTCGCTCCATATGGGACATTTTAAAAGTAATTCCCGCATGTCTATCTTCATATTAACATCAACTTCAAAATAAACAGTATTGGATCTTAAAAAAACTGGGGTGAGTGTTATTTTGTGGGTGTTCGTGTGGGTTTGAAAACAGGGAAGTGTTGGTCCCTGGCAGTGTGCTTGTTCTGTCTCTGCCAAAACTCACAGGCATTTCATGGTCAGCATTCCACCACTGCAGGCCAGCCAATCGTGAGCTCATTGTGCACTAGGCAGGGTTGTCATAACACTAACTCTGCTTAACAGGAAAGCACACAGGAGAGGGGTCAGCCACTGGAAAACTAATAGACAAATGTAGTACTCCTCAGCTTCGCCATTGATGTTCGCTAACTATACAGCAGTATCGCACCAAACAGATGGGAAGGTAATGCAGAGTCTGTTGACAATTTTCTCCTACGCCTCGATTTGCCAATTTGGATGCGAGATCTAAGACTATGTAACCTCATAAAATCAAATCTAACGGCAGATGTTTTTTTCTTTCCCTCAAATTCTTTCCGTGCTGTGCATCCCTGCAACAGTCTTAAAGACAATGGAGTGTTATCAAAGCACACTTGAGGCTAAAACTGACACAGCAGACACAAAACAGCCATTACAATTACATGATTACTGATTCACATTCTTCCCTACATGTTGTGGCTGAAACAAAGAAGAAAATTCTAGAAAATAATAAACAACGTACGTTCTGGGGCTCGGGGAATAATCACTGAAAATGTTGTATAACGCAAATGGCAAAAACTGACGAATGAGTCTTGGCATGTCTCTCTGCAATGATGGACACTGTTGAGAGTGGGATCAGGACATGAAAACTGTGTCATGGAGCGCATGTGTGTTGGAGAAGTCAGCTCAAATCTCAGGGGGTGAGTTCAGAGCAAGGTTAGCCAAATAGTAGATAAATCTGAGTAGGCTGTTGGACAGACAGCTCACCCTGTGATGAACCCTTTGCCCAGAGAAAAGAACAGTGAGCTTCATGTGACCCAGCACAGGTGGAGAAGAAGTACAAGTGGGTACTAAGGGTATCGATAAGGCATGTGGTAACCGTGACGATGTTGAATGTATATGTTGTAACGTTCACATGATTGTGAATGAGATCATATTTGAGCCATATTTGTTGTGTTACTTCATATTGTAATTGCTTAAACCCATATGTTTCTCATAATGGCACTTTATGGGCTGTGAATGAATGCTAAGCTTTAGAATCGACATTATTCCTAGAAATTTTCAGTGATCGACTCATCTAAGCAGCTCACACATGTGGACTGTGTGGCCTGGGCACATCCATCTTTAACTAATGAGTGTGTCACTCCTAAGGCAGAGACCCTTGATCTGAAGTCATATTGTCCGTCAAGAAGACTGATGTAGACAAACATTACATCAAAATATGCCGACTTCTTTTAAACTATACACAGTAGTGGATGAAAAAAAGTATGTGAAGCGAGTAGCAAAGTATGTCCGTACATATAAAATGTTAGAAAATAATAATTAAAAAAAACAGCAAAGCATTCTTAAGTGCAAATAGGTCAATTCACTATCGCATAAGGTCATGATGGGAGAGGATTTGTGAAAGGTAAAAAAAAGCAATAAAAAGGTCACATGATAATTGTGACTTGATGGACGCAGTAGGCTGTGCTCATTTCATTCATACTACACATTAGCATTAGCACTTACACACACACACACACACTTACACACACACACTTACACACACACACTTACACTTACACACACTTACACTTACACACACTTACACACACACACACACACACACACACACACACACACACACTCTTTTTTTGCTAGGCTGAATTTAGAGTAGGTTTTCCAGACTGGTTTTAGCTGTCATTCCAACTGGCCTAGGTTAGTTCAGGATTTTTTTTTCATTACATTAAGCTTACAAAGCTCTAATGATTTGGTCAAGGGCATGAAATGGCCTGAGACATTTACTTTGAAGGCTCAATCAAACCAACAAAACCTAAGCAAAACAAACCACCTTGCTGCAAACAAAAACACGCCTTAACCCGGTCTAGACTCATTTGGATAAATAATAAAATAGTTTTATGAAGTCACTTTTTAACATGGGTTCCATGGATACCGGTAAGTTAGAAGAAGTTTTTGGAAATTCAACTATTTAACAAAACAAACAAAAAAAAATAATTGCATACTGGAAGACAACAATGATGACTTGGTTTTCAAAACGAAAATCTGTAAAAACAAGCAAAGTTAAGCTATTAATACCAGTCCGTTTTCTAGTTTGTTTCGGGACATATTTAAAACATTGAAAGCAACAGAGATGCCATAAGCCCATTCCCTTTAAAATACCCATTGCAAATTCTGAACGTTTCAGTAGTTTTTGTTTTCGGCAGGTAGATGTTACAGAAAAGTATACCCTGCAGTTTTATCTAATTTTACATTAACCTTTTTAGTGTATCTCTAACAAGTTAGTTGATTAGCGTTTCTTACCTTGCGTGATAAACTCTGTGCATCAATTTTTACGCCATGGGGTATATGCCGAAGCATGCTAATAGGACTTTAATTTGCCAGTAACCTTGGTTAAGCGCTTCCGGTGAACTGTCTGCAATTGCAAAAACGGTGCGTTTAAGGTCTGTTTTCTTTAAAAATCAGTGATTTCCGATATAAAGTGGGTCTCAGGTTGTACAAGAAGCACTGCATTAAATAACATTTTACCCGCCCATGTCTTTAAAATATGAGCATTTATTTTACCCCAATATATTCAATGCAGCTTCTGCGCTAGCCTGCCGATTCTGACAGGCACGTGCGAGTCAACGGCTTTTTTTCTCGTTTCGTAAATGAATGCCAGAGTCTATTTAACTGATTGTATTTTAACTACATTACAACATTGATGCTGTAAAAGGATTTGTTTAAAATGGAAAAAAAAATAACAATAACATAACCGGAAGTTTCTCAGCATGGAAACACCACTAGCTCAGCATATACCCTATTGTACTTGGCACACAATAGACTGTAGCAGCATCACATGCCTTTGGGCGCACAAATGATAGTTATGTTGAATAGTCGAAAGAACAAAGACGATTGAGATCACAGAAATCGTAAGCTGGAAAAATACTTTGTGTGAAATAATATTTTCTGATATACAAAACATCTATCTATCTATGCTGGTTGGCTGTTTTTTTCTGGTCTTTTTCTGCTGGTCTTTCCAACTGGTCTCCCTGCCTGGCCAGCTAAAACCTAGGCTGGTATAAGTTTTTTTCAGCAGGGACATCAAGCTTATAAAGTTCTTTAATGATTTGGTAGGGGGCATGAAATGGCCTGAGATATTTACTCTGAAGACTCAATCAAACCAACAAAATCTGAGCAAAACAAACCTTCAGTTTGTTGCTACAAACAAAAACACGCCTTAACCATTAACCAGGTCTGCACTCATTTGGATTGGATTAATAATAAAAAAGTTTTATGAGGTCACTTTTTTAAAGTGAGTTTAATGGATAACAGAAAGTTAGAAGTGTTTGGAAATTCAACCATTTAACAAAACAAACAAAAAATAGCCCTGCTGGAAAATGAAAACAACATCTAAGACGACGACGGTCGCATAGTATGTTATTGGTTTCCAAAACAAAAATCAGTAAAAACAAACAACATTTTAGCCATAAAAATCCGTCCGTTTTTTAGTTTGGGACATATTTTGGACACAGAAAGCAACAGAAACGCCATGAGCCAATTCCTTTTGAATTTTTCATTAACGTTAAACCCATTAAAAATTCTGAATGTTTCAGTAGTTTTTGTTTTCGGCCAGGAGATTTGAGAAAGTATGCTATAAGGGCAGCATTTTTATATTATTTTGCATGAACCTCTTATCAGTTTATCGCTAACAAGTATCTTTTACGAGTAAATATATTAGCATTTCTTACCTCCTCCTCGCGCGATAAACTTCGTGCATCAGTTTCGCGCCATTGTATTTTTGCTGCAGAAGCCAGCTGCATCACGTGCCTTTAGGTGCACAAATGGTAGGCGAATGAAGTATCAGGTCACA